ACCCTCTTGTTGCACCAGCATCATAGCCTTCAGCCTGAAGCAACCAGTAAAATCCTGCTCTCAGGACTGCTTTAGCTTTTTGTGCACAGAGGTGAAAATATTCCTCATCCCACACCAGTACTCTCTACTAGACAAAAATCTGGTACAGACCACAGCTTCCTGTAGTAAAATCTACATTTTAGTGCGTATTTCTCACACCTGATCTATAGACGGAATGACTTCTGATTTCTGAGGAGGAATCAGCTCCTTACAGTGTTTCCAGCTGATAAAATTTTGAGGAGAGAAGTATATAGAGACTTACCAGGACCAAGAAGTGGTCTGGCTGCTCTTCATTTTTCTATCGAGCAGCCTCCACAGCAGAGAGCACTTCAACCCTAACACCAGTGCCAGCACACCTCAGCAACAGCCCCCTGAAAGCAGCAGTGTGACATCATGGGCAGGGGCAGTGATGATCATTAACCAAATATTTCTTCTTTTCTACAGGATGTCAGGAGTGAACCCCAAGGACGGTAAGAAAAATTTTGATTTAAAGTGGGGCTGAAACGGATGCACAAAATAGGATCTATTCTATCTTTTTGGCTTAGGATTTCTACTTACTAACACAGATTACGTTCTCTCCGCAATGACCACGTTCTTTATTATTTAGAGGAAAAAATATTTTATCTTATGTGCACTTTTGAAACCAGTAGCTGGTAAATATGATTGCATGAGCCCCTCATGGGATTCTGAAACATCAAAATCTCCCAAATATTCCTAAATTCCTCTGCTGATTCACACAACGTACAAGATACATCCAAATCTGACTTGTGATGTGCACTCTAAGATTTACTGGATGAGGACCAGTAGGGAGAGAAGATGTAAAGGCAGTGCCCCCTTGGATACGCGAAAAGATCTTGTGAGGAAGGAAACAAAAAAAAACCAAAAAACCCAATCCCACAGCTCTTCAGTGTGTTAGCATTTTTTTTTCCCGAGCTGATTTTTTTCTTTTTCTCCTCCAGCAGCATTTCTGAGCAGTGGAAGACCTCTTCGCGTGAGCATGGAAGATGATGGGAAACCTGCTTCTGCTCGTGACAGGAGATTCCAGTAAAGAAATACTGAGTCCCCTCTTGCACGCGACACCGTATAAAACCAGTGCAGCCCACACGCTGGCTCACGCTACGAGAAATAACCTTTTGCTTTTGCCATATCACAAGAATGTAACCCAAGATTGTGCAACCACTTGATGTCTTTCCTTAGATTTGCTCTCCCTTTCTGCATGGACGCTTGGCTCTGTGGGTCAGTAGCTATACGGCTCCCCTACAAAAAAGACCTACAATAAAGTTTCTGTTCTGCTTGTGCAAATACATCCAGTCTAATGTTGGGGTTTTTTTTTTGAAGTCGGTATGGCATTGCCACACACATGACCATACCCCCTCCCTGCCACAGTGCTTCCTGGAACCCAAAACGAGAGATGCCCAGTGAATAACAACAGTTACGTTAATAACTTTAATAATAATAATAATAATAATAATAATAATAATAATAATAATAATAATAATAATAATAATAATAACAAAGATTATGATGATCAGACAGATATAGAGTGCCAATAGATTCTCCCAGGAATCTGAAGCTAGTATCGGTAAAAAAGAGAAGATAACGCAACAAAACTTTAAGCTCTCTGTTCCCAATTCAAATCGCATGATACGACTACAATTCATGCACAAATAAAATGCACCTCTGAAAAAAAAAAAAAAATTTCCATCTATATATTTCTGTTCCTGCACTCCCTTCAGCAAAAAGGCAAATTCCCTTAGCTCCCGGGGAAACACTAGGCAAGGTCCAGGGGACATGAACTGTTCAGGCAGAGTTTGCTGTGACCGTTTTGGTTTTCACACACGCGGAAGACGCTCACGGGCGGCGTCATTCCTGTAGCTGTCATATTAGCCCCAGAGCCTCGCCTCAGCACATCTACACCAGGGTAATAGAAGAGAGATGCTGAGAGTTAAGAGGCTACTGAATCCCAACTTCGGAGGCATACAAAACATTGACATAGATGCTGTATTTTGCTAACATAACCTGTTTGGAAAATTCGCTGGTAGCCTCATTGCTGGGTATTTCAGTCCACACAATAGGATCTACAAAGATTATACTGTTTCTAGAATTATGTATTTGCCTTCCAACCTCCTTAGAGCCATTATTTTTCTGTCTTCAATCCTCTGACATTAAAAAAAAAAAAATAAAATCTACACTGCTGGCACCAGCGTAGCCGTGACCAAGGCTGCGGGATCAGTCAGAAGCGGTGACTCGCTGGAAAGGACCCAGGAGAGGTTCTTGCAAAGCGACATCACGATCTACCTGCAGAGACAGACCAAACAGTCCAAACGATATCTTTTCCTCATCTAGAAATCGGGTGGCTGCTGTATGCATGGATCAGACGGCAAGAGCGAGAAATCCTGCGGGCAGAGGCAGGCACCCCCTTGAACTTCGGATGGAGGAGCTGCTGGTCGCAGGTGGCGAAATATTCTGCCATGGTTAAACTGCAGCCTGTCTGTCCAGCTCAGTTTGCTTTTCATGTTCTAATTCAGTAAACAATACCCAAATAAAGCAACTCGGGACTACGTTTGGGCCTGCCTAGCAGCTCCCCAGCTTACAGAGACCAGCTTGTACCAAACAAAAAGAAATCAGCATCTCATGGTGCCATCTGCTGACCGGGTTTTGTTTTCTTACTCTGACCATTTGCTTTCGGTCCGTACTCTGTGGACTAAACAGTTGACTAGTCCCGTACTGCCAGCCTGACAAAAAAAAAAAAAAAAAAAAAAAAAAAAAAAAAACGCGTCTGGCTCTGAAGTAATTTTTTTGTTCTTTTTCCACGGATGCTCAACGTGTCGATGAAAACTGTGTGGCATCTTTTCCAGCTGGAAAAGGCTGAGCTTCGGAGGAAACACTTCCTATGTGCCAGATCACCTTTGTTTTGTATTACTTGCCAGGAAAAAATACAATTCTGTTTTTCATGACGGCATGATGTTCCGTGAAACTACCAGGGAGTCAGGCAGAGGCTCTTCTGTCTCACAGACTGTCAGCCTCACTGCCAGGCAAGCGGTGAATCTCACAGAGCTAATTTCCTGAAATCCCGTGAAACAAAGGATTAATTTTATTTCGCATAATATTATGTACATACGCATGTGTTTATATTTCCATGTAATATTGTATAGAACATTAACTTGCTGAATTGTCAGGCTAGAAGATTCCATCTGAAATTGCCCTCCGGTGAGATGAACCGAACAACAGGGTATCACTGGTTCAATTATAATTTGGGGTTTTTGCAAGCTAGGCCTTCGTGTTTTTTTTGTCTGGTGCTTCAAGCTCTTCTCGCTCCCAAGCAGCGGGGCTGACACCGAACTGGAGCTGTTATCAGAACAGTGATGGCCGTACCAGGTACTGGCTGGAAAATTGTATCTTCAGTGATTCACTTCCCAAAACAATTTAAAATGTTTGGTGCTTCCACACAATGAAGTGCAGGAGCAGTAAGAAGGAATATGGACCCAATGGAAACGTCACTGGGAAGAAGAAAACCCCCAGGTGCCAAGCAGAACCGACAGAGCCACAAGGAGGAGCTCAAAACCTGCCCTAGTCAGAAGATGAGGCCTAGGAGGGATGCCAGGGAAGGATGAAGTGCAATGATTCTTTATTACTGAGAAATTTCAAATAAAACAGAGGAAACAAGAGTCCTTCTCTCTTCTTCCAGAACAGGGTAGTTCTGGTTTATGTGGTCTCTCCGACCCCACCGCTCGGCAGAGTAACAGTGCTAAGAGCGAGCCTTGCTGAGCTGAGCCTTCAGCTGCTCTAAAGAAAGAGCCGCAGCGTTTCCAAGAGCCCCTGCCCAGGCAGCTCTATCCCACCCCCCGAACCTCCTTCCTCTACCCCACCCCTCAGCCGAGGTCTAGAACTACTCCGAGACAAGGCGAATTCAAAAACCCCAGCTGTTGCCATGGGAACGCGTCTCAATTTGCCACCTATTTACCAGCACAAGGAACAAGAAAACCTTTGCAGAAGCCAGCCTTGCCCGTTCAATATTTGATGGAAGCAGTTTGGCAGAAGGTTACTGTAATTTTCGAGAAAGACTATTTTTGTATGATTGCCAGGTCAATGTTTAGGGCTGCTAGCTTTAAATAATCACTTGAATCTTCCGAGTGTTGGTACAAGCTCATAATCTAAATATTTTCCATAGCTAAATATCTGAATAGTATTAACACTAGTGACAGCAAGAAACCCCCGCATTACTATCTATTTCAGCAAGGCTACAGAAATATGACCGCACCTCAAATAGTGAGAAAAACAGTAGAAAATATTAAGTACCTAATTCTCACATATTTCGCCTGGAAATGGGCAGCTGAAGGGAAGAGCTGGGCCCTACTCGCTTTGGAGTTTGAGTCGAGTGCCAGAGGTTGGATAACTTCATTAAAGCCTCGTGTCTCATACAGGCTGAAGCTGCTCGGTACGTTACCGACACCTCGACAGAACGAGCTGCGTTTCGGGGTTTCACGGACTGCTGCAATGCTAAAGCCTGAGAATTACAACAGAAAAAGTGTCTTGAGAGACCCATCCCTGCCCCAGCTCTGCATTTATTCTGTAATGGATGATACTCTTCCCCTCATAAGCAGGAAAACATATTAACTACAGGGTTAGAAAAAGTCTGAGGCAAAGCTGATCCCGTTCCACACCTACTGATTTTAGCCACACCTCACTATTATAATATGAAAAGAAAAAGAAAAAAAAAAACAAAAACAACCCAAACAATCAAAAGGAAAGCAATCCGGTATGTGGCTGTGATTCCAAATAACAACAGTGTTTGCAGGCTCATAAATGCTTCAGAATTGACCAAGAGGAAGCACATTTCACGATGACACAATCTTGTTGCTGTAGTCATTCATCGAAGGGAAACTCCCACAGGAAAAGGCATAAAGCCGCTTAGGGAAGGCTACGAAGCTGCTCAGAGCTAGTCAGTCAAACACTGGGTGAGATTCACAACAGAACTAAGCATGAGTACCAGCCAAGGCCCCTTTCAATTTTTTTCTGGGTCCCTCCGGGGTAGTTCAGGGTGTGGTTTTGCCCAGCAAGGAACTTCTTACAGACCTTCAGGTGCAGAGGGTGCCAGCAGCACACACACCTCCTTCTCCTCTGCCAGACCCCTCTGGCTGGCTACTGGAGGAGGGGCACCCTGGGGAGGCTTCGGCGAGCACCCTGGGGAAAGCATCTTCCTGGGTGGGAATGAGAAACAGACTATGCAAAACCTGAACGACCGTTTGGCTGCCTACCTGGACAAGGTCCGCTCCTTGGAAGCAGCTAACGCTCAGCTGGAAAGCTGCATCCTAGAGTGGCACAGGACAAAGTCTCATGGCAAGAGGCACGACTTCAACCAATACGAGCAAAACGTCACTGACATGCAAAGACAGGTAAGGCAGAGCCGCGAGTGACTGTGGCGTTGTACGCGCTTCGAGGGAATCCGGGGGCTCATTTATGCTGATGGCTTTCGTTTAAAGAAAGTTAAATAAAACCTTCTTCAGTGTTAGGGATACTAATGAAAGCGGTTACAGGACCCGGGCAGAAACATTCTTTGTGTTCCCAAGGTAGGGGTAGAAGGGATGGGGTGGAAGAAGGGCAGGCTGGGAGGAGACACGGGGGATTCCGCAAGGACTGCAGAGGGATTTGTGTGCTGCCAAGTGTTCGCTTCTGTGCACGAAACTGTGGTTGGAGTAACTGGGTCTGGCAGAATTTGGTCTTTTTGAAGCGAATTGCAAAGCAGGCAAAGTGCAGAGACTGCCCTCTCCCGCGCACGCCGTCTTCAGACAGACGGTTGCGTTTCATTTCTTTGATTCCTGTGGCAGCAGTCAATGAAACTGCAGGAGGTTTGGGTCCAGCGAGCTTATGTAATCAGATGGAAAAATACTTCATTGTAATTAAGAAAATAGCAGTGACAAATTCCTTGTGGATGTTTTCACTATAATTAAAAGGAGAATTTCTGGTTCCTGCCAGTAGTTAATATTAACGTTCAACAGTAACTCTTTTCAATCTCCCAAACTCACGTGTCTTCAGATTTATGCATAATATTAATCTGCATTCATAATGAACATACTTAGCACTGTAACCATCTGTGTGACTAATCACTGTAATTAACTTTACATAGCCATATGAGGCAAAACCCAAAGCTATTCCAAATGCAATGTTGTCATTTTCCCTCCGCTTTTTATAATACGGTTAATGCCGTTCTCAAGACTCTGAGGAATTTTTTTTTTCAAAAGGGCTTGGAAATGGTATTACCCGGCATCTCTGCTGACTGAGACCAGGGACTTAATCAAACTCCCTGCTCCCTGTCGAATGCGTTGCCTCCAGGCAGAAGATGAGGCGCTCTGACCACAGACAATGTGTGAGGAGAGCCAGAACTGTCAGCACCTATTTCTGCTTTAAGGATACAGAAAGGTCACCCTTCTCCAGACCTATCGCTTCAGCACTTTTTCTTTTTTTTTTTTTTTTTCTGCTGATCCAGATATAAAAACTTGCTCATCAAGAACATAAACGTGTTCACGCTGACTTGGAATTAATAAATCAGAAAGATTTAGGAAGACAATGAGACTAGAAACACGCTGCTTGGGCTACAGCCCTCACTTTTGAGTAGGTTGTACCCAAAATACTTATTTCTCACACTCACCACTTAACCAGCCGTCGCTGGCTACGGGCACCTGTTAGAGTAGTGGCCATCCCAGCCAGTACCGACCGCACGCGGTGCTCACGCTGGGGAGGAAGGGCTATGAAAGGATCACGGACGGGAGACGTTCAGAGATTTAACCCTGAATTTTTACTTTCTCTGTAAATTATTGCAATTAGCGCTATGACTGTCAGGAAAACGAGTGAAAATACATAGCATCTAATCATTAACCATAATTAAATTAATTAACCATGAATTAAAGAGGTGAAACTAATTTAGCACCTAAAATGAAATTTAGATAAAATTTAGGATCCTATATCCAGTAACCCAGAAAGTCTATGGTATACTGGCTGTCTGAACTTGGAGGCATATAATCATTGGGGGGGCCTCCATTTTGGACCACACTCTTCCCCGGATGCCGAACTTCCGGATGAACCTGCCAGATGGAGCAACAGGTCGCCTTGCTCCAGCCTGACTCCATTCTAACCCAGACATGGAGTGAACCAGTGCCACTTCTTCAGGTAAAGGTCTTCTTCAAACATCCTGTGCCCCTAAACAAACCGATTTACAGCGCAGTCAGGGAGGCAGGATCAAGGCTGTTGGGCAAAGGACACGAGACATGCTGAGGAAGAAAGTGCAAGAAGCCTTCCGGAGAAAAAAAAAAATCTGGTTTGAGAAGGCATCCGAGTGTATTTCATATAGAATAATGTGTGAGCTCTTAATTAAGTTATCGAGGTTTGCAGAGTGATATTAGTGATGCTCCCATATTGCTGATGGATGCAGTGGGGAACTCTGTAAAATGAAACAGATAAACGTCCACGTTTGAAGCGCTCTAACTGCGCTCAGCATCGTACAGCAGTCGGCGAAGCGCCGACAACTGTTCGGATGGCACAGAGTCATAAAGCGCTTATGTAAATGATTATGCCACAAAGTCGAGGAACGCTCACGTTGCTTTCTCACCGCCTTATTACCGTCCGTAGCAAAATTTACCATCCCCTAAGGATGGACTCAAGAATTGCCTCTTCAACAACAAACTCCAGGCAGCGGCACACTTGGGGTATCGCCATATTTCTTCAGCTGGCCTCAATCGTGTCCCAGGGCGGTATCCCAGGGGCGCTGCTAATTGCTCAAGAACGCACGGATTAGTTAAAACATTCCGCAGGTGCTTTCTTTTTATTGTGAGAGATAAACTTCTGACACTTCAGGACAATTTTTGTCATTTCCTCGTTTCCTTGTGATTCATTCAGGGGTGGGAAGATTTCCTTCAAGGTGCCGAGAGCTCTGGAAATGGCTGATGATTTCCGTGCTGCCATAACGTGCCTCGTTCACTCTCTGGGTGTTGAGTTGAAAGCAGCTCTTGGAACCGCAACCGCGCTGCCCTCTCCTCTCTGTTAGGAAAGGACACGATGTCCCACAGTCATTAGGTCCTGATAATCGTGTACCAGTTCCTGCGAGAATCCTTTCAGATTTTGAACGGGATATTGAGCTTTTTCATTATTTCAGCTCTATAGTCCAAATCTATTTCACGTTAACAGGGACTTACAAGTCCTCCCGGTGCGTGCCTAGTGCACTGAACGGATGATGTGGTGCACTTTCCCCTGCACCTTTTAGGGCAATTTTCAACATCCCGAAACAAAATCAGAAACACGAAGTACTGACTCCATGCTGCTACAGTTATAGGTGGGTACCTGAACGGACCACGCCAACCAGGTGCCAGTGATATTCCCAAAATGACAATCCATGCGACCCCAGCCCGAGGCACGTGGTGGACTTGCGGGGTCCTGCTCATGGGCTGCTGCTGCCACCACCGCTGTGCCTCTGCATCACACCACCGACTCAGCAAGGTGTTTATGCACATGCCTACTTTTTAGCGTGTGTGTGATTAATTCCGGTGTTCCGATTGTACTCAGACACGGCTTAATGGTTCTTACTGAAATTTGCCCTAGAGATGACCAAGGCTGCTTTTCCAGCAATGCTAAATAGAATCAAAATCCGTTCACAAAAAAAAAAAAAAAAAAAAAAAAATGTTATTCTGTAATATACCATGAAATTTGTGTAATATATTCGTATCCTCTACCTGGCCAGGAATCAGATGACTCCTCCTGATTCATATCCAGAAAAGTAAGACAAAAAGAAAAGTAAGATTATGGTCAAAAACTGCAGAAACATCTAAGTGAAGCAGGAAACTAAGGGGGGTTTTTTTGGGTTTGTTTTTTTTTTTTTCCATGTACTCTCCTTAACATGGGAATGCTTCTCTTTAGATGCTTTCTGCAAGCAGCAGGGAGTCCAAAGCAGCACAGGTCATTGACCATCACCATGTGGCAACACTGAATCTCCTGTTGGATTCTCTGTTTTCCAGATTGAGGATGGCAAGATCACCAATGCCAGTATCCTCTTGCAAATTGATAACGCTAACATGGCATCCGAAGACTTCAGGCTCAAGTAAGCTCTTCTTTGGTTTTCTGATTAAGTTTGAAAGAGGATTAAGCAAAATATTTATTTTTCTTGATAATCCAATATGAAACTGATTTTACTGAGGTTGTCTGGTGATACTGGATAAATAAAACCAATGTAGAACAGAAAAAAAAAAAAAAAAAAAAAAAAAAAAAAAAAAAAAGAAAAAAGAAAAAGCCAGAAAGGATAAAAAGGATGTAAAACCCACAAACGATTGCTGAGGAATCTTGAGTCACCCTGTTTATGATACTTAGTTCAGGTCCTGAAGAGCAGGTTTTGAGGCAGACACTTGATGTGACAAAAGGCACTTAGAAGTGTCATCTGGAAAGACAAATTAACCCTTCCCTGCACTGTGCTTCCCCAGCGCGGCCCAAATCTATTTCCCGTACCTACCACCTCCTCCGACCAGCTCTGCAGGATATACCCGTCCTTCCGTATCTTCTGCTTTGGAGCCTCATCAGTTCTACCGCAGTAAATGGGCCAGAGCTTCCTCGGCCACCAGCACACAGTTTGATTTTTCAGTAGATTGGTGAAAGACAGTTCTCAGACCAACTAGAAAAGCCAAAACATTCGAACAGAAAACTTGCGGGCAGATCTCTGCGAAGGAGAGGAGTTTACATTTCCGTAACATGGACTTCTCAGAAATCATGGAGATTTGTCTTATTTTCAACAGATGATGATCAGCTGTTAAAAAAATATCTCAGCTTTTTTGGTAATATTTTAACAAGCTTAAAGGCTCTAAACACTGGAGGCCTCATGTAGCCTTGCCTTCCCTTCTTTGTCATTCCGTAGTGTCGTAAAGAGGAAACAGTGGAACTACTTTGAGAGGCCGGAATCGCAGCATGAGTCTGACGGATCGAGTGTAGGAACATCAGTATTGCCCCCAAAAATGAAGTGAAGGGAGGGAGGAGCAAAACTGGTTGGTATGCCCGAGGGAAGATAGGGCAGTGTCTACCGGACTCTGGCATACTACAGACGGCAAACTGCGAGAGGGTAGAGAGGAATGGTAGTAACTGGCTTCCATGACATTTTTCCGATTTTCTGAGGTACCGAAAAGTTCTAGTCTTGGAAAAACTACAGAAAGCGTTCACTGTTGATACTGTTTTCACATCTTTATTGGCAGATTGTTGAGAATCATGTTCTCAAAAGTTTTCACAACCTGGTGAATGTTAAAATGCAAAAAGGAATATGAAAGCAAGAGCAATTATTATTTCACACCACATAGGAGGAGTTGTGAGGAAGAAAGAAAACCAATAATGAAACCCATCTTATTTTTAAGGCTATTCCAGAATATCCAAAGAATATTTTAGAAATAGAATTTGTTTCCTTGGGTTTTTTTTGTTCTCTCGAGCTCCCTACATAGAGGACTTGAGCAAGTCTACTTCTCTTTGACACTGCTAACACAAGAGGCTAGAGGCAGTCTGTTCTCAACACACATGCTTTATCTTCTTTTTCCCCATAAAGGTACGAAGCAGAGAAGTCTCGCAGGCAGGGAGTGCAGCTTGATGTTGAGAACCTGCGTAAGGAGCTCGACGGCCTGACCATTGTCACAACAGATTTGGAAATGGAAATTGAAGGCTTGAGAGAAGAGCACATCCTCAGGAGGAAAGACCACGAGGAGGTAGAAAAAGTTCCACTTGGTAAAATCCTATCACGCAGATCTTTGCTACCGTGTCATTAACTCTGAGTAAGATCCACAATCTATAAATGGGATTGATGATTCAGAACATAATCATGTTTCTAAAGAAGACAGCCAGAGTCGGATGAGGCACAAAATGTGTACTGCTTCACCAGTTAAATTGGGATTTCAGAACGGATAAAAGTTGCTGTAGTTTCTCCCACTCTTTTCTAGCCGTCTACCCATCTGTCACCCATAGCTAATAACAACTTCCACATTCGACAGAAATGTTCACAGAAATACTTAGATATAAATACATAGAGATTTCAAGTCAATTGGAAACATTATCGCTTGCTGCTGAGTTTTAATCATGACAGACTCTTCCCCCAACTCTGGATATATCATTCCACAGAGCCGCAGAGGCACGGAGTGGCTGAGTTCAGAGGGGACCTCTTGAGGTCATCTTGCCCACTCACCACCTCAAGCAGGGTCACCGAGAGCAGGCTGACCCGAACTAAACAGACCTTGAATTCCTGAAGGATCAAAATTAAAAAGAACGGTTGGTGAAGTCGAGTAAAATTACTTATTGCAAAATCCCAAGTGCAATAATTAGATAATAACCGTGAAAAAAACTGCTTCTCTGAATTCTCCCAGAGCTATCCCACAGAGGTCTCTGCTATTCCCACATATATAACGCCCCTGCTTGGCAAAATGCTCTTTTCATTTTGCTTGATCTGATATTGTTTTCAGTTATTAACCTAACGCAGAACAAACATCCTACTCAGTTTCTGCGGATTATTAAAGTGGAGAACAGAAACAAAAGGGTTACAGAGCAGGAGGTGAAGCTGATCCCCTTATAGCCAAGGAAACTCCTGAACAGCCACGGTAAAAGAGTTCTTGGAAGCAGGGCGGCCAACAGAGACCTCAGTGCGTCCAGTTGATCTGCATTTTGGAGGCCGTGATGTCATACCCTGAAATGCGACTTTACCTGGGCGCTTTTGAAAATGGTACCTAGCACAGAAGGTTGTGCTACACCGAAAGGAATGTTACCGTACCTGCTTGACTTGTCCCGTAATTATGTTGTTTACACAGTAATTATATGCTTTAATCCAATTATTCCTTTAACAATTACACAGAACTTTTACATTACTCTCCTGTAAACTTAGTTATAGTTCCATAAATATTAACATACAGGGTAAGAAAGATGAAATTACTGTTAGATTTTCATCGAAGGTGTCCTGGTTTCGGCTGGGATAGAGCTTTTTTTTTTTTTTTCTTCTTAGTTCCTAATAGATAATAAATTAAAAAAATGCCAGTGCTTCTTCATTAAGTATGTATCTTCCAGAAACATTATATGAAAAGATCTTCTCACCTGTTTTTTGTTGAGTTCTCTAGCACAGTCCTGCCACGGAATCTGATATAAGTCACTGGTTTAAGTCACGTCACGCTATCGTCCATGTATAAATTTCCCAAACAGTGTTAACTGACTATATGTAACAATTAACCTATCATAACACACACACACAAAAATAAAATAAAATTGGATATTGTGAGAGGATGAGACTGAAGAAGACAAGACAGGAGTGAAAACTTTTCACTTTCACAAACAAGTTTGCTTGTTTCCTCCGCTAATGCATGAATAGGATATGGAAGCAAATCGCTCGTCACAGGACTTCAAGGTCAACGTAAAAGTAAACGCAGCGCCTCCTGAAGACTTAGCCAAGATTCTAGCAGAAATAAGGGAAGATTATGAAGCCATAATTGAAAAGAATCGTCAAAGCCTGGACAGCTGGTACAAAGAACAGGTAACGGCGCTTTTCTGCTCAGTTCAAAGACCCCTGGGGCCGCCCGTGACTGGGTCAATAAACTTCTCTCTTGCTTCTGCCCCACAGAGCGCAGCGACATCTCTGGCAGCGAGCCCTAACCCAGAACAGATACAGCGCAACGAGAACGAGATCAAGGATCTAACCCGAACGTTACAGTCTCTGGACATAGAGCTGCAGGCACAGATGAGTAAGGTATCTGCTGCAGACATCTCTGACTGGTCACTGTTACTTCATGTAATGTTGTGGACGGATTCTTGAGTCCATAGCCTAGCATGAGTTTATTGTCGTTATTAAGTATCGGTGAAATTGGAATTCGGACTCTGCTTGACTCTTTTGCCAGAATATGCAAAATAGACTCAGCAGCCATCACCGAGAAAAATTTATGTCTCCCCTTAGAACAAAAAATGGGGACGAGAAGAGATGGGATGGACAGCTGACTCCATGACCTAGAAAGAAAAAAATGTCCAAGAAGACAGATAGTAATACAAGTGTTGTATTTACAACCCCTATTAAAATGCATGAAATATACAAACTGTGAAAAAATGTTGGTGGGGAATCTCCAAAAATATTACTGAGCTCTTGTACAGGTTAAAGCTCACAAGCCCAGGATCTGGAGGCTCTGGGGCAATCCTGGACAGCGAATGGCAGGACTGACAAAAGAGTCGGCAGTTACCGGAGCACAGCTTTTGAGCAGAAGGAATACGACAGGGATAAATCCCTCGGGTTTTGCCTCTTGTGGCGCACCCATGACACAGCTTTGTGATTCTGCTGCCTTCACATCAATAGTCAATGCAAATGCAGAAGTGTTTAAATTACCACAGTCTTAATTTTGCCAGCTTCTAGCTAGAGACCGAATTTGCTGGCATTTCTGCATTGTATCTACCGCCAATAATAATCATTGTCTTGTTGGTATTATCAATCAATAAGTATTGGTATTATCTGTTCTGCCAGAAACACATGCTGGAGGACACCTTGGCTGACACTCGGAATTACTATGCTGTTGCGCTTCGAAACATGCAGCAGATAATCTCCAAATGTGAGGAAGAGCTAAGCCAGGTTCGGCATGACATCAAGCAGCAAAACAACCAATACAAGGTTCTTCTTGGGATCAAAACCCGCCTGGAGAAGGAAATTTCCACTTACCGCCTGCTGCTGGAAGGGAATGTTGACGGGTAAGGCAAAGCCGCCCTGACTGGAATAGATGAGAAGAGAGTTCTCATATTCGGGTTATTTACTTGTTTGTTTGTTTATGCTTAATCAAAGCCTGCGAGTCCCACGCTACATCAAGGGTTGGTATTTTAATATGATGGATCGTAATAAAAAGGTTGAGCCACTTTGTATACAGAGAAACCCGTATCCATGTAATTTGGATTACCTAAATTAATATAAATTTTTATTTAAAAAAAAAAAAAATCAGCGTTCCCACAGCATGTCTATCTCAGCATAGGAAAAAATGCCAATTTCAGTAAAAGTCGCGGTCGTTTCCTATCTTCAGAAGAAGTTCTAGATCAAAAAGAAACCTGGAGACGAGTTTAGGTCTTTCCTGGCCGGGCCTGTGCAGTTCCGAACGCCAACACGCAAAGTCCGCACAGAAGCCGCTCGGCTGACGGGTTCTCTGGTTCCCCATCTCTGCCTCGGCCACAAGCTCTGCACTCAGAAACCTTCGGGCCCCTAGCCTTTACTCTCTCATCTTACCCACCAAGTATGTCGTACGCGTACAAAATCAGAAAGCGGAGCGGCCCTTGTAACTGCAGATCTCCGGGAGGCAGGACAGCGTGGCGCCGGGAGCGGGGCTCTTTGTCAGTCAAAGCGGGATCCTTGGGGCAGCTCCGCGCACCGGGGAAGCAAAGCCACTGCCCGCAGGAGCAGCACCAGCGAGTGCACACACAAGGGTTTCAGACGAGCCTGTCTGTACCTAGGACTACTGAAGAGGAAAAATTCTCATGGTATAAAAGCATCCTTTTTTTTTAAATTTTATTTTTATTTTTATTTTACCTCTTTTCATAGTGGTATGAGGTCTCTTTAGAATCAGGAAGAAGAAGGGGATTAATAACTTCTTGAAATAAATATAATAATTTTTTTTCTCTGTGTTATTACCTTTACAGGATAGCAAGAAAATCTGAATCAAAAGCTAAAGGTAAAAAACCCCTTATTTTGTTCTCTACAGCGACAATTACTGTCATTTCCAATCCAATTTTACTCAGAACGGTTTTAATCTCAGAGGAATGAGCTACGAAGGGTTTGCATGGCAGTTAATTCTCATGTAGGCCAGACTTGAGAACAATTTCATTGATTCCCCAGGCTTGGGACGGGCAGCACTTCAGAGCACATTCTGCCGCGTCTGCCCACTCCCGGACTCTCTTCAGGCTGACCTCTGCTAGTCGAGCACGCTGCCCAAAGCTCACGCTGCAGCCTAAAGCTTTCGTGGTGTACGAGGAGGCATTTGGTGACTAAAACAGTGTTAGGGCTTGAGAACAAACAGAAAATCTGCATGTCTGGAAACTCAGATTCTGGCATGAACATGACCTAGAGACTCCGCTCTGAAGTCAGATTTGCATTGGCTGGGATGGAGCTGGGTTATTCAGTCGCCCTGACCTGGACGAGACTCCGGGTGACGTTCTGGCAGCGCGTTTCACAAAGAGCAGTACTAAGTATTGACTTAAAGGGAAACGTGTGAGGGTAAAATCAGTGGAGGAGGCAACTGGTAAATTGCTGTAAGTGAAGCTTTCCCTGCATCATCTTGTCTCAGCATTGCTCCTTGTGTAATTAACCTTTCTTTCCCTTTCAGAACACACTGGGCTGACCAGTCGAAAGATCAAAGCAATCGTCCACGACAGCGTGAACGGGCAGGTGGTGTCCTCCACCATCAACGAGATCCATCGGCAAGCGTGAAGGAAAAAGTTCCGCTGCCTGTTGGCTCTCCGAGCAGGCTACGCTCGGCCAACCCTTCTGTGCAACTACGTGCTGCACGTTGGTCTCCCCGTGTGTAAAAGAGGGATGCTATAGTGAACTCTCTCCTAAAATGATTTGCAGCCTAACAATGAAAAGTGCCATACAGAGCTAGGTCTAGCCGATATTGTTAGTTTAAAGAGGTTTTAGTCACCAAAACGTCGAAGAAAAGCTATTTGATGAAAATGATTGGCTGAGCTGGTAATATATGTCTTACGTACATCTCACTGGGGCACCAATCTCCATCGGTGATTCATTTACTGCTCTGCAAATTAACTGTAATTTAAAGCGAATAATCTCTCAGCTGTTCTCCTGGTCTTATGTCTCTCATCATATACCTCACTGCAGCCAATAAATTCTTTTACATTCGTCGTTCTGGTTGTTGGATTTTCCAGTTTTGCTTTTTCTCACGTATGCACGGGCCCAAAGGGGGGGTGTTACTAACACAGGTCATGACTGCAAAAGCCTCATTGTTTCAGGAGGTATAAAACTGGACGGACACAAAACAAGAAGAAAAGGGGTGCCACAACTTAGAGGGGACATTTACATAAGCAAAGCTACTAGACTTCCCTATGTGCAACTTCCCGATGTCACCGTTTAAAACAGCGTTATTAGTAGGAGTGTTGTAAAGTATGCTTTACTAAAATAGTCACTCTAGAAACATTTCTTTATTCTTCAGCTTTTTAAGCATCTTTACACTCTTCCCTTCAAAGATTAAAGTACTTTTCCAGGTACTCTCATTCCTTTTCAGTGACCCATTTAATTCAAAGAGCCATTTCAGTTTTTTGCTTTCATATAAATGCTCCCTGGGTTTGTTGATGGGTTCTGCGGTCCGGATAGATGGGTGGATCCAAAGTATACTGACGTAAGGGGAGAGGCCCAAGCTCTTCAGCCAAATCCAAGCTCTGTCCCCTTTCTCACACCCACCCAACCCCCAACTCAGCAGGAGACCCTAACAGCGATAGGAGAATTTCCAGTGACATGCAAAGCTAAAAACGGAGCAAGAAACAGAGAAATGTTGGCACTGTTCAAATGAGGAAGACTGTAGAGCAGAAAAAGAGAGACAAAAATGGAGCATAATGAGTGTCTGTACAGATTTGCATTCCAAAGTCAACATCTGCATGTGAAACACCACGTTCGGGGCAGTCTGGCATTCATGAGCAAAGTTGTCACTGTGCCCTCTCCTACCTACTCATAAGGGACTTTCATAAAGGATTCCTGTTACTCGCTTTGCTTTGTAAACGAGGCTTGCAAAGGAAAGCCAGCATTTCAAAGAAAACGCAGATTTAAAATAAACAGAGTCCATCTCCAGGATACAATATTTTCTTACTGGCGTGTTCGGACCAGTTCCAGATTCCCCCCTTCGCCCCTGGCCCCCGAACCCTCCACCCTTGTTGCACAAAGAGATCCCAAAAGCATCGAACGGATTACCTAATGGTTTCTTTAAATTGGGTAAAACTTGTCATACAGGATTAGTGACTCCTGGCTAATTAACAGTGTCCTTCCTTACGGCTTACCAGATCCAACGAGCCAGATCTGGTGTTTATAGCATCTGGACAAAATGCGCTCAGGTTTTCTCCACCGATTTTCTGCGTTATTTAAAGCTATATTCATTCATCAGATTTACAGAGCACACCTGCACTGCCGTGCCACAAGTAAGTGTAAGAACTTCTAAGTGGCCCCCTGTTTCTAAATCAAAGGGAAGTATCTGTGCTTTGCACTGGATTTTGATTGTGCCATACAAGAAAAGACGAAGGAAAAAGGAATAACGGGAGTGCTCTCTCGAACACGCCTGTCCTTATTTCGCATCCCCGAGCAATGCACTGGCTTTGCTCCTGCCCCGGTGTCCCTTGCACCGAGGTGAGAGACACCCTCCCTGTGTTACCTCCGCTAGGGTCTCGTCCTCTGCTCCCCGATTTTAACCTTCACTTACAGCCGTGTGGCTGCATTCCGGAACGGTCAGCCCGGCCCAGCTCACGGCACTCACCTCAGAGTTCCCTCTGTTTGCTGACATCATCACACGTCGATGGCTCTAACGCGTCTGGTCCAGCTGATGACTTTTAATAAGTGAAGCTGGTCCTTAAACGTATCAAATCTAAATGAAAGCAAGTATTCTACAGCGAAGATAGCTTACTTCTGGATAATTTTTCATGGCTTTAGAATACCGTGTATAACTGCAGATTTCCTTTTTGTTGAACAGCTTGTGATCCTGCGTCCCCAGGCGTGCGTTGCCCTATCTCTAGGGGCTATCCACTATTTCTGAATTTGTGTTCTGGTAGACAAGCTGTGCATTTCTAAATGTATCTAGGGTAGGTCTGCACCTTAAATAATAAATAATGAAACTAATATTTACCTCTTGCATGCACTATTAACATTGTATTGTCACAACACGCTGAGAGATGAAGTTAGGGAGATAATGAATGGGGGTAGTGTTATCGTTCCCATTTTATTGCTTGAGAAATTGGAAAAGGAGATGACACAACTCGCTCAAGGCTGCGAAGAAAGTCACTAATAGCGACTAAATTAGAATTCATCACTTCACAGCTTCTACTTACCCCAGCTATTAGATAATACAACTTCCGCAAGGAGCCCTTCTCTCGCTACAGCAATCCTTCCTGGGTCCGATCGCAGGGACGACGTGGAAGCCGACCGATTCATTTCAAGACTCTGCACACGCTCTGATGATGTTCTTTCATTTACATGTGCCAAAAGATCTAGTAAAATTAGTCCTGTACAGAACACTATGCCTGGGTGTCTTGGGTGAGTTTATTGTATCTGGGAAACTTTCAAAAAAGAGATGGCAAACGTGCTTTTTTCTCTTAGTCTCAGACCAGTGTCTTGAAGGAAGGGAAATCGTCAGGAGTGTGACGCTGTATTGCTTGGAAAATTATTTTATTAATTCACTGTATTAAAACTGATTGCACTCTGCTAGCTGGCATTCATTCCTCTTCAGTATTAATACGCAAATACGCACAGAAGTGCTGCTTCAACATGAGGGAAGTGACTGAACCCAGGCCCAAAGAAACTGCCATATTAAAAATTTGAAGTATTATAAAAAAAATAAGCGAATATACTCTATTTCCCATAAATGGAAGAGGATAGCAAAAAAATACCACTAGGAGAGAATGTCAGTTCTAAGTCTAAGTGAATGATGTCACAACTTTTGCAAACTACCAAGGCGCAGGAGCTCAGGCTATAAAAGGAGGCTGAAACCATCAGCATTCACAAATCACTTCTGGGAGTTTCACCTGCCATTTAAGGAAGTCCTGCACTAAATAATCCTCCAACGTGATTTATAACAGACTTGAACGCACTCCAGAACGTGCGTGAGTCACAGCTCATTTCACTGGTAGAAACGTTAAAACTTATTAAGGCACATTACAATACGTGGCTTCGGTAGGCGAATTGTTGATCGTCTGGAAGAGCTTTGCAGTGAGGTAATGCAGCAATGGTTTGTGCCATTCATCACGCATTCTTTTGGGTGATGTGGCCACACATTGGCAGGTTTCTTTCGTATTTACGAACAAGACATTTCTGTAGAACGCAAAACTTTTTGCTTTCCGCCTGCCTGGGTAATGCAGATGCACAGTTAAAGAAGTCGTTTCAGAAAGAGAAGAAAAGAAAATCCAGCATTTGTAGCACTTCTAAAAACACGGTTTGCATGCTATTGTTGAAGCAGAGGGAATAGGTAGAAGAGCCGGTAAAACATTTCACAATGTCCACACCCTGACCTATAAAGGTTTCTGCAGTTTTGCTGGGAGATGCCTGTTCCTGTGTATGAATCATTGAGCAAAGGGAAGGATCTATAATCAGGGAAGCAAGGAAAGAATAATGCTTAGGAGGCCTGCTCCCCCCCCCCTCCTCCCCACGTCCTGAATTATCCAGCAAAAGCATCTTAATTATTGACTCTACTCACACATTCGGCCTTGTGAAATCACAAGTCATTTTTGTACGATGTCCTGCTTCCTTGCAATTCCTCCCTCAAGTAAAAACTTTCATTTCTTTTCAAGTCGTATTTTTAAGATATTTTTAATTGTATGGCTCTGCTGAAATGACCTACTTGGGCCCCACATCTAGAGGCTGGCATAAAAGAGTTGTTTGCAAAAATACCACATTAAACATAAGCATCAATATATTACAGTTTGGGCTGCCCTTACGGTAGAAGCTCATAGCACTAGACGTGACCTAATGGTGAAACAGGTGCACGGCCGCCTCTCTGGACATACTCATTTGCCTTTTGAAACTCTGAATATGCATCAGAAGCTTAAAGGCATAAAATTATAACATCCAGCTGTGGTAAAGACACTTCCAGTAACGATCTAGACTTCAGGGGTAAATTTTTTTTTTTTTGCTTTCCAACATCCTACGGTCAAGTCAAAAGGAGTTCATTTGATAGGGTGTTATTAGGCTCTATGGAAAGCAAGAAAAACTAGGACTATAATTAGAAAAAAAAAATATAATTCCATTTAGAGGAATAATTATTTGGAGCAGGCAGGGAAAAGAAGGAGAAACAAACAAGCTGAAGTAGCCGAGAAACTACACAGTACTTTTTTAGAATAGAAACGAATAGTCTGCTACTATTAGAGAGAAAGTGCCAACCGTGGCTCAGGTCTGAAGCCCTGAATCATGCAAACAAGAAATTAAAGCATAAAATGCATAAAACAAATACACCGGAAGCAACTCTTGCCAGAGCAATTAATTTCAAAGGAGGAGATACGTAACGTTGCTGCGAGGAGACAGAAATTGTGATTTAAAGTTACCAGCACAGGAAAAAAAAATAAAATTCATTCCTTATTAGTGAGACAAATTATCAGTTTTTGGAAGCCGTTTCAGTGCCCAGGCTCTGTTTTGTAGTTAACCTCATCACAGAACAGTCTCAAGCCAGCCACCAAGACATTTGGTGAATGGACACGTTCCACTGGAAATAACATTGCTGCTGTGCAGAAAAACAAACAAAAAAAAAAGTAAAAATAAAACCAAAGAAGCTTTTTCTTTAATGTCTAGAGTTTACTGCCGTCTAGAAATCGATACTGAAGCATCAGCCATAAAGAAAGGGGCCTCAAACGTTCAGCTTTCAGGATTTAGAAAGACAGATAACACTTGCTGCCATTGCTTACGAACTCGCGGCCATACACAGCGCTAAACCCTCGTAATTAACAGCTTGTGGCTGCGAAGATAAATATTACTTGAAACATCTGGCCACGAGAGTTATGCAAAAAATTTTTCTTCGGGATATAGGACCATCAAAGTCGGTAATATGCGAGATTTAGTTATGCAATACGTGAATTACACGGAGCTCGTTTCACGGGCAGGTGGTGGCCTCTAGTGCCGGCATCGCCCCAGG